TATTTTGATATAATTTTTTTTTTCTAAAATATCATACAAAAAAGAAAAAATATGTTTTAATTTTTTTTTTTTGTTATTAACCATATTGTCCCAAATGATTGATGCTAGTAAGACCTATGTATAATTTGAAATAGTAATTAAATATAGTTTGACCAATTTTTTTTCAAAATATGTTCCGATAGCTTCGTTGGTTCCTATCCGGAAATGTGACCATTAATTATATCTCATATATGTCTTTGACATTGACAGCAATTGCAGAGAAGAAGCTAATAAATTTTAGTTAAGATTTTCTTAGCTAATAAGTAACCAAATAACATAAAAATGCATTGCATTTGCAAATGAGATTATTTTTTCCTTAAAGAAACGATTCCTTAATCGACAAWAAAARAAAAAAGAGATGGTGTTATAAATGGTAACGTATCTCCATGTTTTTGTTTTTGTTTTTGTGGCTAGAACGTGTCTTAAATTAAGAAATATTAATTTACTTTGAATTATAATTGTGGTGATGTGAGACGAGACCTCATTTTGCCTATAAGAAGAAGTACACGGAACAACAAGAAGAAGCCCGTTAACATTTCATTTCATTTTCTAAACTCATTTTCTTTGAAATCGCCAGCCATCTATGAGTCCTGTGGCGGAGAACAAATGGGTTAAGGTAAAGAAAGAAAAAAAATCAGAGGCTTTTTGGATCCTGAAATTACGCTTTGTTGATTTGAATTGATTTTGTTGATCAGGTGGATCAGAAAGGAGCAGGTCCTGGGCCGAGAAGCTCACACGCCATCGCCGTTGTGGGGAACAAAGTCTACTGTTTCGGCGGTGAGCTCAAGCCCACGATCCCTATTGACAACGATCTCTATGTTTTCGATCTCGAGACTCAGGAATGGTCCCTAGCCCCTGCAACCGGAGACGCTCCTTTCCCCTGCTTTGGAGTCTCCATGGTCACGATCGGCTCCACCATCTACGTCTACGGTGGCCGCGACGCCTCTCGGAAATACAACGGCTTATATGCCTACGAGACTCTCACCAACAAGTGGGAATCGCTATCTCCCGTCGAGGAAGGGCTTCCCGGTCGTAGCTATCACTCCATGGCTGCTGATGATCGGAAAGTTTACGTCTTTGGTGGGGTTACTGCCAAGGGGCGTGTCAATACGCTCCACGCTTTCGATGTGGTTGATCGGAGATGGGTTGAGTATCCGGCGGCTGGGGAAGCCTGTAAAGGGAGAGGAGCACCGGGGCTTGCGGTCGTGCAAGGGAAAATGTGGGTTCTCTTTGGGTTCGACGGCACTGAATTGGACGATATCCATTGCTTTGACCTGGCTCGTGGGGAATGGACCGCCGTGGAAACCGCCGGGGAAGTACCATCGGCGAGAAGCGTGTTTCCGGCGGTTTCTTTTGGGAAATACATTGTTATATATGGTGGGGAGGAAGATCCGCATGAGCTGATGCATATGGGAGCTGGGAAGTTCTGCGGAGAGGTTTACAAGCTTGATACAGAGACATTAGTGTGGGAGAAGCTTCTTGATGGGACCGAGGAAGACAAGCCGAGCCCTCGCGGGTGGTGCGCGTTTGCGGTTGCTGTCATCAACGGTAAGGAAGGCCTGCTGGTTCACGGTGGGAATTCTCCGACCAATGAGCGCCTTGATGATTTCGTGTTTTTGGGTTTCTCGTCTTAATGTCAATCAATCAGTTACTTTGCGTCTTTCCTTTGTAAACTGCTTGCTGTGTGTTGTTTAAAGAGCTATGTGGTGAATCATATGTAACTGCAAAAGTCTTGTGTTTAAGGAGGTATCTGGTCAGAATTTGCTACCTATTCCAAGCCAAGTATTATTATATGAAGTTTGGTGCTATGGTACATCAATTTTATCTTACTAAAACAAGTTACGTAGTTTGACCGTGAGAGCTTCTTATATTTTGTAAACATATATATACAAACAACAATACTA